TGCAGCATACATAATTGCAGTTGGTCTGTCTGTGTGTGTGTGCGTGTGTCCGTCCGTCCAGCCGTCCATCCGTCCGTCCGTCTGTCCACCGTTTTTCGCGGCAAATCTGAGCGTGAAACGTGGACATATTTTCAACTAGGAGGAATGCATGGTAAAATAAGATTCTGGAGCAGAGAAGTCCAGGGAAACTGGTGAAACGGGCGGCTGTCGAGGTGAGTGTGCGTCAAATAGAGATCGCGAACCATCGTTGTACTTAGATGCTAGATGCTTTGCGCGTGTGGAGAAGATTTTCTGGTCTGGCTGTAGGTTGAGTATATAGGATCGAGATTGCAGGTGAAGTGAGAGCAGCACACGCCCCAGTGAATCCGTTCAGTGAAGGAGCCACTGAGGTAGTGTAGCTAGTATGTAGCTTGAGGGTTGTCAAGACCAGTGCTTTTCACTTTGCTGTAGTAGCAACTAGTATGAAAACGCGTGTGCCAAAAACTGACGTAGTGTAGCTAGTAGCCATTGGCTGCTGAAATAAAGAATAAAGTGGCGAGGGTTATGCACTTTCAAGTGCTTTTCATTTTGTTTAATAATTATGTCCAGTCTGTTAGAGATCTGAGATCCCCCCCCCTGCTTTGTATGAATCTGTCACTTTAGGAATGCAAGAGTCTGTACTGATGAAGCCCTTCTTAAATTTAACTATAATATATTCGCCACCTTGATGCAACGTTTGCGCAACCGGTGCACCACATTACGCAACGCCCTGACTGAGGGACTCCGTTGTATAGACTCCGTCTTTCTGACTTGCGGACCAGGCTTTGCTGTCCTTCATTCATTACTGCCTGGCTGTGCAGGCGCCGTATGGCACGCGCCATACCTCTTTTCCCAGCAACAAGCCTAGGCAACGTCACGCCATCGCAGCGTATACTGGACTCGTTCCGACAACACTAAACTTGTCTCAACCGTCCAAAGATATCTCTGTCATGCTGTATATTGTACTTTCCACGGATTACAATATACCGCATGACAGAGATATTTACATCTCTGAGGACCTGAGGAACGGCTCCAAGTTCAAGGTTGTCGGAACGAGTCCAGTATCTGCTGCGCACGAGCAACGTGAGGTCGGCGATGACGATTATGCTCAAGTACAACAGGCAGGCCATGTACTTAATTACCTGTGTAAGCCTCTCTTTTTGGTTTGTTAATGAATTCGGGGTTTGTCTTCGGTGCGCATGTAACGTAGCTATGTGTATGTGTGGGCGTGCGAGCATTGTGTGGACGGCCGAAACTCCGGCGGTTATCTGATAATAAAGCGCGTGCTTCCCAGGTACTACTCTGCTTCTTACAAATGCTTTCACATTTGGCAGTGGTTTGTAGCTGCGTGGCACTCATCAAAAGGCCCTAGTCTTGACAGGCGTGAATTACTATATACTACATAGTGCAGCAGTGTGAGATATTGGCGTGAGCAGATGACAGTGCTTGTCGTGTCAGCAACGCGCATCGCGCGCGCAATTTTGGCGTTTTCAGTGGGCGCAGCCCACGGTATGACAAATCTGTGAAGATACTTCATAATGGTATATAGTGGAAGTTAGTAGTTGCAAAGGAATTCTTGTAGATGGAGAAGAGTGACCTGTAGCTATATAGCTATATAGCACCAAAATGCTGCAAGGTTGAAAACGTGTAGCGTATAAATAGGGGCGTGCCAGGCAAAAATCGATTAACTTTAACGCACACCGTGACAAAATGTCTCTTCACTTCTTGAGTCGCTGGCTACCACGCATCCGTTTCCACGCACTAAAATACGCTGCGTTTGTCCTGAATCAGCGCATTAATGCGCTGAACGACTCCGCCTCTGCAATTGCGCGAGCAGTGAGCGCGCAAGTTCTGCTAGAAGCGCTTAGTATCCGCGGACTTCACATTTAACGACTCAAACATGGTAGCTATTAGAGCGTTTCCTCAAATGCCTTCACATTTTCTGTGATTATTACAGAGCTATTGCACATGGAAACGTTGAAACACAGCTGTAGCTCATACAGTAGCTAGTTCCTGAAGTATAAATAGAATTAATAATGTTGCGAATTTGGCGCATGGCCCTACATATTAAGTGTTGCCGTTAATGGGCATCCTTCATGCATTGTATTGGCCTTTCAAGAATTAAGGGTTTGTAGGTTTTCTCCATTGACAGCTATTAGCTAATGGTCTATAACCCTAGTAGGTAACTTACTGGCGAAGGTCACATGCATTGTTTTACATAAGAGTTTTTCTTCCCAATCCCATGACCCACTCTCTCACAGATTTTATTTTCATCTACTAGGAGGAGCCTGTGAAGTCTAAAATCACTGCTACATGAGAATATACGAATGCGACAGAGCTTTGTCACTGGTGTCGTTTCACCAATTCAGTAATTCTACGTAGCCGATTATCGCGTCTATAGTACATAGTTTGGGCGCGGTTTTTGTCACCACACACTTTTGACGGCCTTCGCGCGAAGACCGATATCCCGCCCCTCGAGTCGGGGACAGTGATTCGCGTACAAACGTTTCCCGCTATAAGAGATTTTTGAAGTGGAAACTTCCTCTATACCGGATCCATGGAAAGCTCTTTTGCGTTATGCAACGGACTGCAACCGCTGAAGTATGTGCGCATGCGCAATGTCTTTCGAGACTTCGGCCGACCTATTCGCTGGAGTATAGTCTAGTAGTCTGTTACCGAGGAGTCTCAGAAGAAGCTGTAAAAGGCATTTTACCCCTCAATATCCTGGTATATTTGTAGTAATAAGATAATAAGCTGTGTGAGGGGCAGTTTACTATAATAGGAGATCTGTGTAAATTTGACTTGGATGAGGTTCAGGATCTTGCAATTGCATACAGGAGAGCACTCGGTGTAAACTGCTGAAACAAGGTAAAATGACACTGGATTTTAGAGATGCTATCATGATTGGCGTTGGAATTGTGCTTTTTGGACTACTGACTTCCACTTGTGAAGTCCTCATTGTGTGTCTCTTGTGTAACAGGTAAGTGTCCCATAATTATAATGATCTACCATTTTAAACTGTGGAGCCCTATATAACAGATCTTTACCGTGTGCTAAGAGGCTATCACGCTCAAAGACCAGAGTCACTACAGAGAATAACCCGGCCTATGGTGCAGTAGTTGGCGTAGTTCATGATACGCCACCATCCGTCACTATATCATCACCAACAGAGGAGGCTCTGTATGCAGAAATTCCTAACTGAAACTCCTTGGGAGAGTGAGGTTGACAAGTCACGGACAATAAGTAGACCTTAATGTTCACAAAGTGTGTATCTGTCACCTAAATTTTTTATGCGCCAGAGAAAATTTGAGCATCAACGACAAGTCAGGTGCATATTTTCAATCAGTGCTGTGTACCGTTTAATCTTTTCACGGTGACATTTTGGCATCATGTCTTGAGGGAAAGTCATGTGCATAAGGGGATGAATGGAGAATATGACGTCGTCTCTCAAGCCTACAAAACCAAAAAGGAATGCCACATTCCTCATAATAATAATGTATTATCTCAATCAAGAAAGTGTATAATGTCATCATTATCCTGAGAAAACACAGCATGGCAATTCCGGGTTTGTGAAGTGGCCCAAATACACACATTCATCCAACTGTATATACATAACTCTGTGTGTGTGGAACAAAACATTGTGCAATGTAAACTCTGAAACTGCATATATATATAGAGAATATGGTGTGCTGTGTTGCAAGCACTTGTTGAAAGGATATATAATTATGCTCCAACTTTGAGAGTGTGTACCTTTACTACGTGTTAGTCCCTAGTTGGTTTTATCGTTGTAAAATGACTGGAGCAACACCCAAAATCATTGAGTTCTTTCACTAGGTGTAATGGGGCAACAAAAGTACACAAAGAGAGGTGAAGAAAATGAGGAATGAATGTGTGTGCAATTAATAGCTGCCACATACATGAAACATATTATTTTCATAGTATAGCTACTAGCTATAGATATGGATAATAGAAAAGAAAGAAAAACCAGAAGTCACCCTCCACTCCCCACCCTCCATCCAGGTAGCTACACAGTCACACACGAGACAAACAGCACACTTGCACATAAAAAGGCAGGACCATACATGTAAGATTGCTAAACTGAAGGAAAAGGCAATATCAGAGCCGTCCTTAAGCCTTTCTTTCCTTTGTTGCAGTCTCATCTGTGAGCCTTCTTTAGAATTGTTTCCTGCCCAATTATTTATTATGCCACAAGTCAATTAAGAAAGTGGAGTGAAAATTTTTGAGATGTTTAGTTCATGGCCTCATACCTTATTTTCATAAACAACAGGGATGCTCACAGAGAATACCATTTTATGGGGATTCCGGACTGTCATAATTATAAAAGCATGCAGGTTGGTACGAGGTTCAAAAGTGAGTCATCAAATGTGATGCAGTTCGTTTACTGCAAACTTCTTTCCCTTAGCACTTTGGAACATCATCACTAAGTACGGTAGTACTTGTATATAGGGATGGGCATGGTACCTAGCATCAAAGATGTATGGGGCTAGCTATATTATTAGGGAGTTTGTTTATCTTCTTCTTCTTCTTCTTCAGATCTGAAAAAGGGTTGCTAGTTATGTAGTTCTGCAAGCACACATGTGATAGCTACACGAATATTGAGAAGAGAGGGGAGACACGAGACAAGGGGCAAAATTGACAATTTAATAAACCGATATCATCTCCATGCCATTGCCAATGGCATGTTTATAAGGAAAACTAGGATCATAGTCAGTCTATATACACTCTAATAACATGTCCCACCACCGTAAAAGTTCCTGCATGGCTTCTTAAATACTGAAAGACTTCCCTCACGGCATAGCTTCACTTTCTGCCATAAATCTTATGCCAGAGCGTTCAGAAATCCCTGGATAGGAACAGTTAGTGCCTGTATGTGGGTTTAGTGTAGAGAGGTACAACATTTTGGGTATAATAATATTACCTCCAACACAATATATATGTAGGCCCGCTTCATGGAAAGAGAAGAACTTGGATTTCCAGGATGTATTACAATACGTATGTTGGCTATTCCACTCACAAATGCTGCAGTAAACGTATTTAAAACACCAGTTTTTGTGTATTTACAACAGACGGGTAGTTCCTGTTATGATGTAAATACAGAAGAAGAGAAATACTCTGTACTTGGCATCTTTCTGGTGTTCAATAATCATAGCTTGAGCGGCTTGAAAAAAACGGAGATTTTTCTGTCAAAAATGCGGGTTAGATATAATGACTGAGAGTCGCTAGCTGTAGACAACTGCAAAATCATGTCCCTCATTCGATGAAACACCTTGTAATAGATTACAACCATGCAGGAAAATACTGCAAAATAGTTTGCTGCAAGTAGTACAGAATAACTTGTTACAAAATAGTGCAGCTGGTTCAAGTACTGTCATCCCTTGGCAACGTAAAATGGAAATGTCGTAATTGGTGTCAGAAATGTCTCTTACACTGCCATTATGGTAGCCAATTGGTGGCCGAGGAAGAACATTCCCATAAAAGGGCAAGCACCTGTGTTTTGAAAGTGTGCAGCATGAACACTTCTTAGCTTTGTGGACCAGCTGGTACTTTTGAGATAGCACCCCAAATGGAACGACAATCAGTGTCATTGGTAGCAGCCTCTATAAAGGATAAAGAAGTAGAAAACCGTGTCAATACACACCAGTTGTAACTTACCAAGGAGTGGAGTATATAGGCAATGAATGCGCGGACAGGGTGCCATACGTGGACAGAGACAGGTCTCCATGGCATCACCTATATATATATAATTATATAGGGAGACACAGGTAGAGCTAACTGGTAAATACTCTGGCTTGATTGAGAATTACTGTTCCATAGCATGGCAGTTTAGAGGTCTGCTTTTATATGTGTTTTTGTTGTGTTGTAGGTTTGCCAGCGGAGTTGCCTGGGTAGCTAAGTTGGTAGAGTGCTTGCCTAGACAGCAAAGTGTTGAGGGTTGGAATCCAACTTATGGCAGCTCTTCTGAGTTCTCTTTAGTAGACTTGTCTGCTTTGCCCTTGCCTTGCTACCTCGTTGTTACATGCAACCTGCAGCTATCAGAGCACCCAGATTCCATTACTTAACATTTTCTGAGAATTTGGGAACTAGGCAATACAAAAACCATCACTGGCATTATGCAATCATGGTGTTTTGACTGTACATGTATGTTTGTGGTTCCAAGATTCCTGGTGAATGCTTACATAAACACTGCTGAAGTCTCTTTGTTTAATACTGAAATATGCCAACAGAGCGTAGATAAGCGTGTACCAGGCACACCCTTATCTACCTGCCCCGGGAGGCAGCGCACCCGAACAGCCGCAGCCGCACCTGTTAACTCTGCCAGACGATAGCATTATAGCTAGGTATATGTGTTTGTAGCTCGTACGGCATGTGTATTATTCCTTGCCCCGATTCCTATTATGGTGTATTTGTGGCGCGGTTCCACCCGGGCGGGCGCTTTACATCTCCCCGCAGAGTCAAGGGAACTCTATGCATACACGGCTGATGACCTGCCCCTACGACGTGCTCCCGGTTGCAGACTCCACTCGTCTGCCAGGCCTGGGAGGCCGCCCTGGCAGGACACCCCGATATGGCGTTCGCCCGCTATGTCACCAGGGGCATTCGCGAATGTTTCAGGATCGGCTTCCAACTGCTCTCGGCCGCTCCGCTCCACAGCTGGCAATATGCTCTCGGCCTACATGCACCCGGAGGTCATCCAGGCCTACCTCGATAATGAATGGGCCGCTGGCCGCATGCTCGGCCCATTCTCAGCCCAAGCCCTTGGCGTCCTCCCTCCGCTCCGTTAACTGCTTGGGGTTATCAGGAAAGGCCATGATACCGGCAAGTGGCGCCTGATCACGGACCTATCATACCCACCGGGTCTAAGTGTCAATGATGGCATAGATCCGGAGCTCTGCTCGCTCACCTACACGTCCGTCGATGCCGTAGCCGAGGTAGCAGTCAGCTACCCCCTGGGCGCCCTACTTGCCAAGGTCGCAATCGAATCGGCCAACAGGCTGATCCCCGTGCACCCCTCGGACCGCCCGTTGCAGGCCATGGAATGGAAGGGGGCCGTTTACGTGGATCCCATCCCACCTTTTGGGCCCCGTTCGGCCCCCAAAATATTCAACGCGGTGGCCGACGGCCTCGAGTGGTACCTTCGCAGCTGTGGCATTCGTCTTGTCGCCCATTACCTAGTGAACGTGATGCAGTAGTACAATGGATGATGGCTACATACTTTGAACTGACATCGCTTGCTCGTGTAAAATTTCCTCCACACGAGCCCTATATTGTCGCCACCTTTACTGTTTGTTTAGTGAAGTAGGAGGACAAGTAAAATGCGAGGACAATGGTGGAAGGATTCTGTGTGTAGATCGCAAAGAACTCAGCATTGTAAAACTGGTTAG